GGCCTGACTCTTTTGCGTTGATCTCCTCTACTCACTCCTTTGGAGAGGAGACCCGTCAGACCATTGCTCGTCTACTGCCTCAGGATGAGACTTTCGGACCCGTCATCAGGAATCTGCAAGCAGATCCTAATTTTGAACTAGGCTATGTTCTGAGTTCAGACCTGCTATATACTTGCAGCAGAGGTAAAGAGCGCTTGTGCATTCCCCAGGACCAGCGGCGCGGGACACTGCTGATGTCAGAGTGTCATGACTCCCGTGGACATTTTGGGTTCCTAAAGTCTTATGCAACCTTGTCGCAACGCTTCTTCTGGAAGGAGATACGGAGTGATATGCTGCGTTATGTGGACACCTGTGAGCTCTGCCAAAGGAATAAGGTCAAACGTAGACCTCCTTTGGGACTGCTCAAACCCTTACCCATACATGATGGCCCCGCTGAATCTTTGTCGATAGACTTCACAGATTTAGGCAAGACCACCCCTCGTGGCATGCGTCAGGTTATGGTCTGCGTGGACAGGTTTTCCAAATACGCAGAGTTCATCCCCTTGCCAGGGGTAATTAGAGTACCGGCTGTGAGAGCAGCCTTCTCTGAGAGTGGGTCACACACCATGGACCGCCCACCTCTATAGTCAGTGATCGAGACCCCAGATTCTGCAGTGATGAGTGGCAGTCCTACTGTAAGGACTATCTGCACTCACGACTCGACATAACTTTTGGTCACCATCCTGAAGCCAATGGTTTGGCTGAAGTGATGAACCAAGTCTTATTCCAGTTGCTGCGTCCTGTCATCTCTCCAGATCAACAGGACTGGGATCTTCACTTGGCGAGGGCACAACTCATGTACAACATGTCTGTCCACTCCTCGACAGGGTTCAGTCCCTACCGGTTACACTGGGGGCGTGAACCACGACAGCCTCTCGATGATATCATCGATAAGGCTAAGCCTGATCTGACATTAGGCACAACAGAGTTCACCAGACGTTATCGTCTAGATTTGGAAAGAGCCCGCGCGAACTTGTTCAAAGCCCAAAAGGCTATGATTGAACAAGCTAATCGCCACAGGCGGCCTTCCCCCATCCACACTGGTGATCATGTCTGGGTGGCCAGTTCTGAGCTGTCGAGGGAGGAGGATATCTCTCCCAAGCTGTTGCCACGTTACCTGGGTCCATGGCAGGTCCTAGATGCAGCGGCCGTTGATCCTTTCGATCCGTCGTATGTCATCGACGTCCCGCTGCATCTACGCACCTACCCGGTCTTTGATGCATCCAAGCTGCTGCCTTTCACTCCAGCTGATGCATTCCCCGACCGGCCTCCTCAGTTTGGTCCACCAATCCCTGGCAAGGGATATGATATCGACCGGATTGAGGACACAAGCCCCAATCGGCAGCATCTTGTGAGCTCGGAGGTCCTCGCTCCCGGGGAGGGTAAGCCTGCAATGACTTGCTGATTTTTACTGCCGAGATTGACTGCGAGGCTGTACACTAACCGTTAGGGTTAGATTCGTAATTTTGTTTGGCTGAGGGCTAACCGAGAGACCTGCCTGTAGGGAAATTCGTGAGGGACATATCTGCAAATCTGGGAAAATATAGGCCCGGTACTAACCCGAATTCCTACAGCTACCCTAACTGCGTATAGCAGGCCCGGGCTACCCCTAGGACAGACAGGCCYTAAGCGGCCTATGCTGATAGACGGTCCTATAGCCTATAGCCGGGTCCGGTAGAGGCCGAAAGGCCGAAACAGAAACGGTACCGGTCGGTCAGTCAGTCCGGTCTAGGTCTAGCRTAGTCTATAGATARGTTASGCCCATTGGTTCAGGACTTTTGGCAGTTCATTTCTCRCGAAGCAGCGTTGGAGAAGCCAAGCAAGTTGGTGGCGGTGACTGTCTGCAGGCGGCATCCTGAGACCTCGCCGTTGAMAGCAACCATAGCCGGCCCAGTCTGAGTCTGCCATWGCTGGGGCATCCTCAGCRYATCTACCCCTGGGGTATCTGCGTATGGYYGGRSTACATCGAGGCTCTACACTGTGTACTCGTGGGTGGTGGCAGCCATAGCTGCCTRTTCCTTCGTCAGAGTTGTCCACCGGCACTGAAGACTTCATCGCAGGACCTGTTCTTCATCAGGGTGGTTGGCGCTGGCCTCTGGGAGGCCATTCTGATGTGGCGCTACTAACTGGGTGTAGGATAGAGAGTGGGGTGTGAGTTCTGAGAGTGGCGAGACACTGCTACAAACTCTGTTACGATAATTGTTTGAGTTGGCTCATCATCCGTGTCATTTCAATTGTTATCCTCACAGGTTCTAATTGTGATTGGTTGTTGGGAGTTTGTCAGAGAGAGAGAAACACTGTGTGTCTTCTCCCCATCTGTGCATAGCTGTATTCCGCTGCCTACTGTGATCTGTGTGCAGGGTGGACTCTGTCTCCTCTCCCCCTTCTCTTATGCATGTATGGGCGTGTATGAGATTGTCTGTGTGTGAGACAACCAAGTTCATAACATCGCAACCAAACGGTCAGTCACACTCAGTCAACCAATTATATTTCTGTCTTCACCTTAATACCACCAGTCCCATCCTGCCTACTTTTTCACAACTGCATACCCGAAAAAAAAAAAAAAAAAAAAAAAAAAAAAAAAAAAAAAAACAAACAAACAAACAAACAAAAAAACCTGCTCCTGCCCACCCTGAAGTGTCACTCTGTGTCTCCGCCCCCCCCCCTCCCTCCCCAAGAAATATGTGTCTGAATGCAACTCTTGGGCGGGAACATTTTTTTTTTGGAAAATTTTTTCTGGCGCCCCTGTAATTTGCATTATTTTGCGTTGCGCCCCTCCAACGGCTGATTTACCCTGTCGTGCCCCTCTGAGCAGGGTTCAAATTTTCCATAAGACCCCTGTGTTGTTTGGGCCTCAAATCTTTTTGTTACGCCCCTACCGGTACCTGTCCCTAATTTGCGGGATGCCCTACCGGTCCCCAATTTGCGGGATGCCCGTACCGGATGGCCGTTAAAAGCCAGCAGGAAAATTTTTGAGATGCCCCTACCGGTACCATTTGCTGCCAAGCCATTTGCTGCTACGTCATCTTCTGCTACATCATCTGCTGGCAGTCCATTTGCTACCAAGCCATTTGCTACTACGCCATTTGCTGCTACATCATCTGCTGCCGCGTCATCTGCTGCCAATCCATTTGCTACCAAGCCATTTGCTGCTATGTCATCGTCTGCTGCCTCATCAGCTGCTGTCACGGCATCTGCTGCCAAGAGGGCGTCTGCTGCCAAGTCCTCCACAACTGCCACATCTTCTACTGCTTTCCCAGATGCAGGGCCAGCTCCCTCTTCCGACAAACGGAAGGATGTTAGTGGTGGACAGTCTGAGTCAATGACGAGGGCAACGGCGACCTCGATGAATGCAAAGGCGGGAAAGAAGAAGTCTGGGACAAAAATCAGGGGGCGGGCGTTGGCTCTTGCAAGTCAGGATCTTGTCTCATCCGAAGGTTACGATCTATGGAAGAAGATGATGAAGGAGGAGAGGGGTGTTGTGACGGCGCTGCGCGCCTATGGCTGGTTGGTGGACTGTACATCGTTCCAGCCCTCTCTCTCTCTCTCTCTCTCTCTCTCTCTCTCTCTCTCTCTCTCTCTCTCTCTCTCTCTCTCTCTCTCTCCCGCGGTAGGTTTATCAAAGTTCTGAAACGTACGGTCATGATGGCTGTGTGTACAATGACAGTTGCCCAAAATGCAACTATAACGACTGTCATTGTAGACACGGCCATCATGACCGTACGTTTCGGAACTTTGATAAACCAACGGCGAGCAAGAGAGAGAGAGAGAGAGAGAGAGAGAGAGAGAGAGAGAGAGAGAGAGAGAGAGAGAGAGAGAGAGAGAGAGAGAGAGAGATGGGGGGGAGAAAGTGTACAGCCGCTGTCGTCTTGTGTCAAGGCAAGTTAGCAGCGTACTGGTAGTGCTGCTAGCCGTGCTTTGCGAGGCCAAAGCATGGATCGGCACAAATATCGGGGCTCAATTCAACAACCGCTGAGTGTGGAGGTGGT